GCGTCCTCGACCATGCGAAATAAAACGCATGGACGAGGACGCGACAGTAGGTGCTGTGGCTTTTGAGCGAATCCTATTCTCATCTACTGCTTTGTCGAATACAATGCAACCGATCTTCAAGGGCTCACCAATAGAAAGGAGCTGTGCCGTCTGATCGCTTGTCGATGGGAACATAAGGGTAGGGCACAGTTATCACTGCCTATTTCACTGACGAACGGCTTCAACATTGTTCAGAGGGCAAACTACGCACGCTCCCCTCCCTTTTTTCTTGACTTATTACTAATTTTTTCCCTCTATCACGCACTTTTTGGGGCGAAGCTGGTGACCGCAATTCATGGTACGACCATACACGGTTTTACAATCCAGTACGATTTTGATGTTTCGAAGATAGGGCGCATTCCAAAACGGAAGTGACCAACCGGGAAATTCTTTAGTCTTCAGGCTTTCCACTTCGCATGCATCCCTATGCCTAGCCTTCTAGCCGAGTAGCATTCAGCATAGCTGTTCTGTTCAGATTTCAATAGAGCTACGAATGGACTCACCACTTGGGCACATTTGATAGACCCAACAATGTTCAAGCCATTGAATGCTGCTGCTGCACTGTACGCAATTTGAGCAACCAGCTTGTTGGGAGCCTTAAAAAGGAGCTTTTAATCAACGAATGTCAGCTCTTTCGACTTCTGCGCGAGACCAAAAAGAGCTTAAGGAATTCTTAAGCTCAAACGAAAGAGTTCGGTTCTTGCTAGGAACCTTTTTGCCGAGATTAAAATATTCGCCTATACAAAGTTGTAAAGTGGGAAAGGTCCTTTCGGTTCATCTTTACCTGTGAAAGTACGAAGAAACACATTGCCATAACGCCTTGTGACAGTGATGCAAACATAACCATTCGATTTCTTTCGGAAATGAATGTACTATGATCAAATAGTGGTCCTGCTACGAATTTCAGCATCAGGCATAAAGCATACGGTAATGCTGTGGCGAATCCGGTCTCAGTTATATCCAAGCCCAAGGCCTGAAGATTCCCATTTGAGCATCAGATTTGAAAGAAAAAGATAGTCGGGATAGCCCTCACGTACCTTGTTTATAAATGTTGGTCCGTAATGCAAAAAAATGAAGAACGCTGTGTTCCCACCAAATGTCGTTAGCAGAACGGCCTGCATACATCGGTCTTGGCAAATATCCTTGTATGGTACAGGCTCTTTGATCGACTGGCCTTCCTTCCCAAGAGAAATAGCCGACAGTTCCGCAGGGTTAACCATCCTGACAAACGATTATCAAGCGAATGATCAAGTTAGATGCGGTTTAACCCTGGACCTTTCCCTCTTTGACGGAGGTCCTAGGTTTTTATATCATTTGGATCAACAAAGATGCTTCGTGTATTGAATAAATAATAAACAGAGTAAAAAAATTATTTTCAGTAAAGAAACAACGAAGATAATGGTCATAACTACCACAACTTTCAATTAGAACCTACCAATGATTCTTCGGATCATCTCTGTAGAGTGTAAAGAATGCCATGACTACAATAACACTGGTGATGCCGAATAAATAGTAAACATAACTCCAACCAAGCGATGATTCACAAAATGCACTTGCCAACGGTAATGTTAACACTGGAGCTAACTGAAATGAGGTTTTTCGTTGTAAACTGCTGTAAAATAATGTAAACTATGAAATAGTTAAAATAGTATGGAGTATTTATGGAAATAAAAACTGATTATGTAACTTCAAAATGAATAGTAAGGATAGTGATAGATTAGCGTGAACGACGGACGGCACGGAACTTTTCCAATACCTCCTACCTATGATTTTATGGTGGTCAATATTCATGACCTACCCCGACTACAATCACGTTTGGATTCGAGTAAGTAAGAAGCCCTGAAAAGTATCGTGCTATGTCTATTCGTGTCTGTGTGTCTATTCGTTTGTCGGTGTGTGTCGGTGGCTGTGTGTCGGTGCGTGTGTGTCTGTCGGTGTATGTCTGTGTCGATGTGTCGATGATCGGCGTGTGCGTATAGATGTGTGCGTCGATGTGTGTCGATGTTGAACATCGAAAGTCGAGAAAGCGAGAATTTACTTTTATCTATCGCCATTGGACATACCTGCTTGTTCGGATTGGAGAACGTCCGTTGCGCGCGTCCGTCGAAAGTAAGTCACCCCGCCCCTTTCGCGCGCGGCGCACCCCACTGAGGTCTCGAGATGACATTACGGTACCACCAAGTGTCAGTGGAGCGAATGATTTGCATTTGGTCGTGTTATCTTCTCTTTTGGTTGAACGCCATGGACCAAGCACAATTCGTATGCCCCAATGTCAACTGCGACGTTTGTCAAAGATCGCATGCTAACCCGCCGCGTGCGACGGGTGCGGCGTGACCTAGTTTCAACGGACGCGCGCAACGAAGCGCACCCGTTTGGATTATTAAAAAAGTGCGCTCCAGTGTGAAGGGTGCAGCCTTCAAGCTTGCCGCCTTCCGGTGTTGTGACGATGAAGCTAGCCCTCAGCCCCTTCAGCGTCCTATCTAGTCCTTGAGCTTATAGATAATCTCTTTCCCGTTTTCCTCCCTCTTTGATAGAAACTCTCTTTTTATGAAAAAATGCTACTGGGAGAAGAGATTTTTAAGGGGTTCTGAAAATAGAATTAAAAATCCAACAAAATAAGAAAAATCAATAAAAGGGGTTGTTCTGCACTAGTGGCGAACATTGGCTCAACAGGCCAGTCCTCCTGTCCACCAATAACTCTGGCCATGACGTTGAGAATGTGGTGAACGGCTTACAGCAATAATTATTTTAATATTTCAAGAAAATTGTAATTTAGCAGACCTGTGCACTACAGGAGAGTATTGCAATGTAGGTTCCTGATTCGAGAAGAGCTGACCAATGTGATGTTATTGTACCAACACTCACAAATGCAATAGCCATTGCGAATCCCTGTTTATGGATTGTTTACTATACAGAATATGGACCCATCGCCACAATATACTTCGTACCTGCATGAATCTTGTCACCATCACTGAAGCATACCCAAATTCCACTGCTAAGGGAAGCATTAGTGTCCCACAAGTTGCCACAACCCCGTAGAAAACGAAGGTATACCTGAGAACTGAATTCCACCTCTTTGAATAGTTATTTCAGCAAGAATGAGCTCGACGAAGAAAAATGTTTTAGTTTTTATTATAACCTCACCTCATCCCAATGGCATGCAGGATAGGGACGATGGGAATCGTCCCAATGAGCTGACCCACTGCGACGATAGAAAACAAGGCATTTTTCTGAGTCGGATTCTCTAGCCAATGATCTGAAAAGAACTGGGCAACAAATTTAGCTTAACAACTTAAAGATTTTTGAAAAAAGAGGATACCTTCAGTGGCATTCGACGTCTGCGACTCGACGACATCTCGCATACAAATGATTGTGAAACTTAGAGCTTGTTGATCGCAATAGATAGCCGTACTCAGCAGTAAAGAGAAAATCAGAATTGCGAATCTCACATGACTCGGCTTATCGATTTTTGTCATTACCTTGCAAAAACGATCACATAATTAGTAAAGGCGTAGAAGACATGGCGTATGCATTGGCTGTTCGAATATACAGTGGAATGGGCCGCTTTGAGAGGTAAGGGCTAAACTCATAAAAATTATTATCGAAGAGAGAAAGATAAGATTCAGAAGTGAACAGGTTTCGTACTGTCCTACGCAAGATGTTCCACCTGTTGAAAGCTCCGGTCCATTCTCGGCAACCACGCTTCGATTTGGATGAAAACAGGGGAAAAAAGATCTATTGGGTTGTAACATAAGTTCGTAGAGTTTTGCGTTAGAGTTATTTTACCACGAGTTACTTTATTTTCTAGCAAAGTGTATACATTCATTTGAAAGA